ACGAGACAAAACCAATAAAACCCATTACAAACGAGGCATTTGTTGCATCCAGTGGGGACATAATTACTGATAATAATGACTTATACTGTCTTTTTACGCATTGCGTATCGCGTATCGCGCGGCGTAAACATAAAACCATGTCTGCATTTGTGATCGGAGAAACAAGAGACTACTTCTTTTTAGATGACGTGCTGAACACGCACTTTACTGGATTCCTTTCAGTCCCCTAAGGAGGTGACCTTTTAAGTACCGTTCACCAGATGCAGCTTTTTCTGTCTTGCAGTGCATTTTCTGTCTAGTCTCTACAAATGTCTACATGCTATTATGACACTATGCCTTCAAAATCCAATTTGCTGGCCTGTTGCTCACTGAATAACAAACTTATATTTTAAGATACAACATAGGGGTGAGGAAATAATGACAGAATTTTCATTTTTGGGTGACAAGCTTATTCACCACCAGAGGTGCAATATTACAAATATGAGCTCTTTAATATTCATCACATCAGCAGAAATCATTCCTCAAGGGCTCATATTTCAAGCTTATAAATGAATGAACTCTTTGGGCAAAAGGTTCTACCCTATGGGTATGAAATTGGCTTCATTCTTTACATTTCCATTCATAGAGACTAAAGAAAATGTATGAGAAACGACAGAAGTATGCAAAAGAAAATGTCTATAAGAACAAGCCATAAATCACTAAAAAAGAGCAAAAGTTTGTTGATCATGTTTTTTTAAGCTAAACATCTGGATTTCTGTGATATATTGAACATTCACATTGCGATCTCTGATGATTTAAATATGTCAAGGAAGTCATTTAGCTGGCTTACATAAATGAGGTCTTGTGGAAATTGCAAAAATGATTTGTGATAGTCTTCAAAGCATCATTTAAAATGGGATGAAAATTATAAACAAACCACCATATGCCATAATTTTTCCAGCAAGTCTGTTTATGAATTTATAGCCATCCTGGAATTTCATTAGAACGGCATAATTTCTTGGTAATTTAAAACCCAATAAACCTAATAAATGTAGATGCTATAACATTTATATTAAAATTAATTACATCATATAACATTATGATACAACTTCTATATTATAAATGTAATTTACAAGTAAATGTTACACTGGAATGCTACAATTCTACATAAATATGTGACAATGGTATAAGAAACATAAATATATATTGCAGTGAATCTTTTCAGAAAAAATATTTATTATATTTATATTTAGCAGGGTAAGTTCAAATCTAAACTACTTGCCTGACCAGACCAACAAAAAATATTTTTTTTATGTTTTTACACTGATTCAAATTACATTCTGCACAGTGCAAACTTGATAAAGCTGCTTGTGTCATTACGAATGCATGACTGGTTACTTGAGCTGCAATTAAGTTATCAATCCACCATAACATGTGGGTGGCATAAATCCCGTTTTCTGGAAGAACCAGAACACACAGGTTGACTAAGCCACAGAAAAACATGACACGCAGAGAGATCTCAAGCGTAAGACCTGAGATGAATGTTCAACAGTCACTCTTCCTTTAGCATCACAAAACTTAGTTTAATAATTTCTGACAATTCTGGCAGTACTTGACTGTAATAACCAGGAGTTAGCTCCTTTAAACAAATTAGATGAGTCTTGAAAAAGAGAAAAAAAAATAGTTTATATAAAGTTCATGATTGAAATGCAAACTTTATACTGTCAAGGCGAGAGCGGAAGACATCTATTAGGAAACCAAATCAGATAACATTAGTTTATTTTACAATCTTTTATCTCTAATGTCTCTCTGTGTCAGTCTCCAAAAAAATGACAGAGCAACTCAGATTAAACATACAGAATATTAGATGAAGAAATCAAAGATATAAGCATCTGATGAGAACTTCATATCCTTATTTGAACAAACATATAAAAAGGGAACACTTTGATGTCAGATGCTTTCATTTCAGGCCCAGTTCTGCCAAGAAATATAACAATTTAAGAGCAATTTGGCATTAATTTTGAAATGCATTGCTTTGAACACTTATCCAACGAATTAGAAAATAATAGTAACAGTCTATCAAGTTGGGTAAACGGAGTACAAAAAAAAGCACAGTGTTTATAGCAGGGGGTTAAATTACACGTCATTGCTGTTTTAGTTATGAACGCATGTGTAAAAAATGTGATCCAGGGTACACGGTACATAATCACAGTCTGAAAACTGTCAAATGAGTGTATTAATATTCCTAAACAACATGGGGTATGTTTGAAGCCGTACCTTCATTATTTCCTCCAGACGAGAGATCTTCTTGGATGCAAACAAACTCGGGTGCAGATAGCTTCCATCTCCATCATCATCATCATCATCATTGTCAGAATTGTCTGACTTTGATTCTGTTCCAAAAGGGCCAATTGATTGGATTGTTAAATGACTTCAGAAATGTTCAGATATGTTCATTATTCTTAAAACAATTGATTAATTCAACTTGTTAAATTTACGATATATACTACAAAATGACTGACAAAGTGACACAATATATACAACCATTCAAATGTTTGAGGTTTACAAACTGTTTTAATATTTTTGTTTTTAAAGGGGTCATATGACGTTGCTAAAGAACATTATGCTGTGTATTTGGTGTAATGAAATGTGTTTATGCGGTTTAAGGTTAAAAAAACACATTTTCCATATAATGTACATTATTGTTTCTCCTCTATGCCCCGCCTTTCTGAAACGCGTCGATTTTTACAAAGCTCATCATTCTAAAAAAGCGAGGTGTGCTCTGATTGGCCAGCTATCCAGTACGTTGTGATTGGCCGAATACCTCAAGCGTGTGACGGAAATGTTACACCCCTTAACATACTGTGATCATGCCGTCTCCCAGCAGCTCTGCTCGTGCACATCCCATCATCGGTTCTCTTTTAGCAGTTCAGTCAATGTACTGTTAGGAGTAACTGAATAACGGTTTATTTCGCGTCAGAGAGAGTGTCAGGCACGTTTATAAACCAAATAATTTAAGTAATTAGTGGATTAGTGCGTACTGGAGACGCAAACCGTTTCAAACGATTCAGTTCGATTTGGTGAACTGGTTCGACCGGTTCAAAAAGAAGATCCGGTTAAATAGAACGATTCGTTCGAGATCACTAGACGAGACAAAACCAATAAAACCCATTACAAACGAGGCATTTGTTGCATCCAGTGGGGACATAATTACTGATTATAATGACTTATACTGTCTTTTTACGCGTTGCATTGCATTGTGCCGGGTAAACATAAAACCATGTCTGCATTTGTGATCGGAGAAACAACAAACAACAAGCCTACTCTACACTGCTCAAAACTCACGTTTGAATCATCATTGGCAAATTATTTAAATATAAAAAAATGTACTTACAGGCTGTGAGTCAGAAGCACCAGACTGTCCTTGCAAAGTTGGAACAGCCCAACTTTATAGAAACAGCCTTTGTGCCACAGACGCATTAGGCTACTGGTTAAGGAAACAGTCCTCATCCATCCTCCATAAAATGCTCAGCACACATCTGAATATTTGGGTTGAACTGTTCTGGAACAGTGTTGTAAATACAACTTAACCACTGATTTCTAGTCGTGTCATCTTTTGGAAGACCAAACAAAGTAGTTTCGCTTTCACAACGAAACACACAGCGACTCCACAACATGGCAGCGGCAACAACGAGAATAAAAGTTATGCCTTCTTTCTTTGCGTGAACATTTGGGCGGCGTTATGCAAGTCTTCCCACATAGTGACGTAGACATGCGGGGGCGTGTTAGAACGAGCTGTTTTAGGTAGGCGTGGTTGACTCTTAACTTTTATAAAGAATCTCACTTTGGATTTGAGACTTTAGTCTTTGTAACTTTACAGATCTTCTTTATGCAGAAAGGAAAAATTCAGCATGAAATCGCATCATATGACCCCTTTAAGAGAAGTCTCTTATACTCTCAAAGGCTGCATTTATTTGATAAAAAAAATGCAGTAAAACCACTAACACTGTGAAATAATATTACAATTTAAAATGACCCAAACAAAGTAGTTTCGCTTTCACAACGAAACACACAGCGACTCCACAACATGGCAGCGGCAACAACGAGAATAAAAGTTATGCCTTCTTTCTTTGCGTGAACATTTGGGCGGCGTTATGCAAGTCTTCCCACATAGTGACGTAGACATGCGGGGGCGTGTTAGAACGAGCTGTTTTAGGTAGGCGTGGTTGACTCTTAACTTTTATAAAGAATCTCACTTTGGATTTGAGACTTTAGTCTTTGTAACTTTACAGATCTTCTTTATGCAGAAAGGGAAAGGAAAAATTGAAATCGCATCATATGACCCCTTTAAGAGAAGTCTCTTATACTCTCAAAGGCTGCATTTATTTGATAAATAAATGCAGTAAAACCACTAACACTGTGAAATAATATTACAATTTAAAATGACTGTTTTCTATTTTAATATATTTTAAAATGTAATTTATTCCTGTAACGCAAAGTTGAATTTTCAGCATCATTACTCCAGTTTTCAGTGTCACATGATCCTGCTGGTATTATTGTAATATGCTGATTTGGTGCTCAAAAACATGTATTATCAGTGTTGAAAACAATTGTGCTGTTTAATATATGTTTTAGGAAACCAAGATACTTTTTTTCAGTAATTATTTGAATTTTTTGTAACAATGTGAAAGTCTTTACTTTGACTTTTGATAAATTTAATACATCTTTGCTAAACAAAAGAATACATTTCTTTCAAAAAAAATAAAAAAATCTACAGTACTGACACCAAACTTTTGGCTGGTAGTGTATTTTGAAGCAAAAATGGACATTTCATGTTTTCTAGCGAACTGAATTATAAAAAGTGGGAGTTCTATAACAGAGGAACTCACTATATTTTAACAAAATATTACAAAGACATTTTACAATAATCAAAGACCGATTGAAGTCAATCCAAAGAACAACATCTTTTCTAGAATTTCCAGAATCTGTCTTTTTTTTCTAGAGCATCTTCTTTTCTAGATTTCCTACAATAGCGTTTGCCACAAAAATAATGTGCACAGAATTATGGGGAAATAAAGGAGTTCAAAATTTCATGTCAACCTAATAAACTGTAACACATGAAAAACTTACCTTGTTGCTGGTCCTGTTTGCCCTCTGATGCCGATGTGTACCTGCCCTCCTTCATAGCTCGTAAAATATGTTTGTAGTAAGGGTTCAGGTAGTGGTCGAACCGCAGGAAATCAAACTGGGAGTTCCCAGCCTGCTTTGCCTTCAGCACAATTTCAAATTGGGCCCCCTGCTTGCATACAAAGTTGGCGGTGCGCTCAATAATAGCGTGCGTCTTGGTGGTCGCAGGCTGAAATAGATGGCAAAGAAATGGGGTAAACAAGACTGAAATACTGATTAAGCTTATAAGAGAATATGCCATTTAAAAATATAAAGATTAATTAGACAATTTGTATAGGGAAAAATGCGTATAGAACATTTATCATCAATGACTTCGGGCGCAGGATTTTTTTGCTACTGCCGTTCACACACAAACAATTTATGTGTGAGTGTGGGCTGGCATTCCATGAATCTAACCAAGGATGTCATTAATTCATTTCCAGCTACACATGCAGATTTAAAATAGTTAGTCACAAGTCTTTCAAGCTGCAGACAAAATCATATTCATGTGCCGAGCTGATTTATGGCGATGCTGTATTTTAAATGACAAATGGCACCAATAGTGCTCCAAATGACACATATCCTTCATTAGAAGGAAGCATGAATATTGCATGAGAAGAACTTTTCGAAGGGCTGCACTTTAGCTCCAATGTCCAGGTAAACAGAGAATCTATTGTATTCAAAGCCCCAGAGAGCCAAATAATGACTTGCTAATTTGAAGATAAACAACCCAAAGTTTCTCTTCAAAATCAGATTCTTTGGTTGCTTCAAGCTATCTGCTGTACAATAAGCAAGGTAATCAGAGCACCTGAAGATTAATAATTCAAAAGGCTCCTTCAAAGAACCTCACAGACTTGAAACTAATAGGGGTTTTCAAGTCTGAGAAAATGAAGGTTTCGACTAATCCTCCAACCTTGAGATGGATATCAGTCCCTCCACCCAAAAAAGTGCTGGTTGGGGTACGTTGTTGCAAGTGGCTCACTGGATGGTGAAGTATTTATGTTTCTATGTTTCCAGTAGGTCTTGGTGGAAAAGCAATGACATATCCCCGGTTTAAGAGGATAAAAGAGGGGCATCGAGACTCCTGAGCTTTTAGAAAAGTATAATTTGGTGGGATTAACTTGCTTTCAGCTACAGGCACAGTAAAAAAAAAAAAAAGATCAGTGATTGTGTGTGGCTCCCAAACGTGGGATCCTGCGGCGATAAAAGCCCATGTCTGGTTTGTACAGATTGATGTTTGCATCCCACCGTGTGCATGCTGGTTATACAAAGGAAGATCTTTATAGCTCAATCAAAATCAGAAACTTCTGAATAGAAAAGAACAGAGAATAGAGTCTTTACTTGCCACACAGTCATAAATGGCCACTTGCAGAGTGCAAATCAACAATCTTTCGGTATAGTTATCAGACATCCAACAATAGAAATGCAAATCAAGCACATATTTAATTTAAATAATGGTGATTACAAGTAGGGATGCATAATATATTGGTTCCATACTAATCTGCAAATATTAGAGACTTTAATTTTACTTATTAAATGTTCACCTAAAAATGAAAACATCTGTCATCATTTACTTATCCTCAAGCTGTTCCAAATCTCTTTACATTTCTTTCTTCTGCGGAACACAAAAGATGATATTTTAAAGAATGTTGGAAAATAAAAAAACAAAACAGGTTTGGAACAACTTGAGGGAGGGTAAATGACGACAAAGTTGTCATTTTTTGAGTGAATCACCCCTTTAATTAATCTGCATATTTAATAGTGTGTGCTCATTTACCAGATTTTGAATCGCCATCTAACTCACTTAAAGTTAATATTTAGAAATAGTGTTAAATGTAATCTTTAGCAAATCTCCAAATAAATATCCATTTTCGTGCCGTTCAATATAATGCCGTGAAGCCTAAATTCACTTGTAGCATTTAAAATGAATGATTTAGCTTTAGTTAATCTTTAAAAACGGTTATATATAACCTTCATTAAATCTCCAAATGAATATCCATTTTTATGCTGTATATTACACATCATGTTGTGATGCCTAATGCACTTGCAGCATTTAAAAATGATTGACTTTAGTTTAGTGCATTATTTGAATTTATTTAGACAAAATATTATTGAATCTTTTAAAGGCTAATCATGAAAATAATTAGTCTCATGGGTATCGACCAGAATTTTACTACTGGTGCATCCCTAAGTGAAATTGTGTAAAATGGGAAGACTTCATTATCTGCTCACCAGCTCTACATCCGGAGGGATGAGGAGGCCAGGGGGCGCCACAAACGGCTCCTCACTCTCTTCCTCCTGCTGCTCTTGATCTGAGAGAAGGGCAAAGGTGGGAAAAACAGAATGAACAGACAAAATCAGATTGGCAAGCCAAAAGAATCACAAAGAATCAGAGTTTCAGGAGCAGGATGAGAAAAACACGCACACACTTCAACTATGCAGCTATGAAGCTTTCGTTAACTAAGGGCACTTTAAAAGAACCGGAGGCACTTTAAGTTTTATTTTGAGCTACTACAACTTTCTGAGACCACAAGCCCCGTCAGCTCTGTTTACTGCTGATGCCTCTATGCACTCTTCCACCCTCTGCCTCCACGAATTGGCCAAGACAGGTAAAAACCAAATTAAAATTTGATGCTGAATTCAGTGTGAAGGGAAATGGGGGCAGAAGGTGGAAACACACTGCTGGTGCATTAATGGAGGAAATAATCAAATCTAGTAGCTACGTAGTGCCACATTAGTTGCTCTAATAAATCAAACAGCTCTTCTAAACCTATCCAACAAATAGTAAGATGTCACATGATCAAAACTATGCAGCTATGAAGCTTTCGTTAACTAAGGGCACTTTAAAAGAACCGGAGGCACTTTAAGTTTTATTTTGAGCTACTACAACTTTCTGAGACCACAAGCCCCGTCAGCTCTGTTTACTGCTGATGCCTCTATGCACTCTTCCACGCTCTGCCTCCACGAATTGGCCAAGACAGGTAAAAACCAAATAAAAATTTGATGCTGAATTCAGTGTGAAGGGAAATGGGGGCAGAAGGTGGAAACACACTGCTGGTGCATTAATGGAGGAAATAATCAAATCTAGTAGCTACGTAGTGCCACATTAGTTGCTCTAATAAATCAAACAGCTCTTCTAAACCTATCCAACAAATAGTAAGATGTCACATGATCAAAACATTTTTTTTTACACTGATGGTTACAATCAAATAATCTCGCTCAACATTTTTGGTCACAATCAAATCATCTCACATGGTCTCACAAAGCTTTGAGTAAATGGCATAAAGTCTGGTCTACACTGCAGATTATTTTGGCCAAGAGCCACCCACTTAGACAGAAATAGACCATCAGAACGACATGTAAATGACTGACCACTGTTTGTTTTGTTTTTATATGTTTAGATTATACGACAATAATAGACTGGCATTAAAAATGTCATTCAGTTATACAGAAAGCACTAGAGAACAGGCTGAGAATTTATATTTTGCCCATCCAAAAGTAACAAGCATAGAATACTTCACAGAAATAATTCAGAAACAAGGTTGGCCAATACGGCCAAAAATAATTCTCACAATGCTTTTTCCATTTCATACAATAGCTATATTCATCTAGGTATTCCTTTATGATTAATGGGGATTGAAATGCTTTCCACATTTATTAGACCTTGAGAATGAAAGTAAACATAACTTGTTCACACAGAGTATGATACCTTTTTAATTTAGGGCTCCATGAAATTTATTTTTTTATGGATTCTGTGTTTTATGATTTAATACAAATTTATCATTAAAATGGTGTCTAATGAAATTAATTAATAAAACTTTAACAATTGAATTGATCTTTTAAAATGTAAGCATTTGAAAATATAAGAATTTACAACAAAACACTGTTTTTTTGTAAATAAGATGCTGCACAACATAACTTTGTAAATAATACATGAATTAAAAAATATATTTATTGCTGATATTCTTTAAAAATAATAGTATTATTAATACTTCTTTGAGAAGTACATTTTAGTATACAACAGTAATATATTTCTCTTATAATTTATTCAAGTTAAACAAAAACTTTTAGGGTCTGTCTTGAAGATCTTTGAGTTTCAGTGTGTATTTGATTCAGTTTTGAGTTTTTCTCAAATGGAATGATGAAAAGCATGTGAAGCGACTCTCAGAGAAGCTATATGAGGAATATTTTGAGATTGCAGATGCTGAAAACTTAATGATACACTGATATCACTTTTTCCAGAACGAGTCCGATACGATACTTTTATTTTTGGTACGTGCCAATACCGATACCTGTATTTTCATTGCATTTGTAATAAAAATGTTAAAAAATCTTATTAGCTGGCTTTATTTACTAAACAGATATTTCCTTCAGTTAATTTCACACTTAATTGTGTCAGTTAAAATGTATTGTACAAGACTTTGTTACTTTCATTGTTTATTTTATTGCTTTGTGGTAGGGCTGGGCGATATATCGAATATTAGCGATAATATCGCAATAATTTATGACATCGATGTAAAATTTGAAAATATTGTGAAAGCGAGCTTTCATGAGTGCGGTTGCCAGATATCAATAGTTCAAATCCCCGAATCAGAGCTTCGCTGTTACTAGCATACATTTTCTGCCGATTAACATATATATTTAAAAATATAAGTCGGTTTTTGATCATCTGAAACCTGCTGCGACTTATATTCCAAAGCAACTCTCATAATACAATAAAGTTTCTAGTTTCACTTTCGATTTAAACAAAGTTGTGTATGCTTGAAGTTTAAAATAAATGTTGTTTATAGTGAACGCCCCTATAATTTGTTTTATATTTACGATTTAGTTTTAATCCAAATTATGCATCTGCTAATAGAGTGAACAGCAATAAAGATCATGCAACAGAAGTGCGTTCGCTTTCCCTCTTGCTTGATTCTCTCCCTCTCCTTACTGTCAAGTAACTTCAGTAACTTCTGCATTGCTTTACTTTTTGACATATCTGACCTAACTACATACTTTCCAGTGATGTCTGTGAGAAAGGGATATTCTCTTGACAAGTTCTCATACTCTTTGCTTATCAACTCGGGCACATCAGTTATTCAGACATGAATACTGAATGTTTAACATTATATTGAATACATACAAGTACTTCATCGACATCCTTAATCTCTAATAACTCCATTCTGCTCTCTCTTGTCTGTGTTTCTTTGTCTGGAGCACTGTTTACATGCAGTGTGGTATCAGCTTTTGGTATTTGGGAGCATTTTAAAGAGTACAAGTACAGGAGCCCCGTATCGGTGTATCCCTACTGAAAACACAGTGAACTCCTAATATCTTAAATGGCATTAAACTAGCAAATCAGGTAATTATTGCCTCTTCAAAAGCTCTCGTTCTACAAACTCGCACCCAATTTCATAAAATCCCTTAAGTTAAAGGGGTCCTATTATGCTCTTTTACAACGTCTTGATTTTGTTTTGGGGCTGTACTAGAAGAGACTCTCATACTAGGTTGTTCGAAAAACACATTACTTTTCACATATTTTACATTATTACAACACCTCTCTCCCCAGTTTGGCATGAACAGCTTGAATAGCTCCAGTATCAAATGAAGGCCCCCCTTCTGAAATACAAAATGTGCTGTGATTGGTTAGCTGGCCAGCGTGTGTTGTGATTGGCAGCACTCGGCGCCTGGTCGAGAAATGTCATGCCCCTTACCATAGCCGCCTGCGAGCTTCAGTGTAAATATTGCGTCATTATCGAATAAATTTGACCGCGATTTAAACCCGGATGATTGTAACTACTATAAGTTTGTCTGCCTTGGGAAAGCTAGCGTGTCTTCGACATAGTGATAACACTCGTTGCCTTCTCTAGTGCAGCTCAACCAGGTCTCGTCCCATTCGTTGGTATTTGTGATATCTCAAATCCTGGAAAATATGCATTGTAGTCCAAACGAGTCGTTCATTGTAGTTTTTGAAAAGTGATTTCTGTTAAAGGGGTCATATGATCCTGCTAAAAAGAACATTATTTTGTGTATTTGGTGTAATGAAATGTGTTTATGCGGTTTAAGGTTAAAAAAACACATTATTTTCCACATACTGTACATTATTGTTTCTCCTCTATGCCCCGCCTTTCTGAAACGTATCGATTTTTACAAAGCTCATCGGTCTGAAAAAGCGAGGTGTGCTGATTGGCCAGCTATCCAGTGCGTTGCGATTGGCCGAATTCCTCAAGCGTGTGACGGAAATGTTACGTCCCTTACCATATTGTGATGCCTGCGGCAACTACATGTGACGACCCCGGGCTAGACTCTGTTTCGTCCACGGTGAAAGCCAATCCGGCGATCGATAGCGCGAAGTTGAAGTATTTCCTCAGCGACCAGCACGGATCAGCTCCAGGCATGACGAAGCGATATCATCCTCTTTTGGAAGGCCAAACAAAGTAGTTTCACTTTCACAACGAAGCACACAGCGCCTTCACGACATGGCGGCGGCGGCGGCAACAATACTACTGTGAGAATAAAAGTTGCCTTCTTTCTTTGCGTGAAGATGTGGGAAGAGTTGCATAACGCCGCCCAAATAGTGACGTAGATATGTGGGGGCATGTTAGAACAAGCCGTTTTAAGTAGGCGTGGCTGACTCTTAATTTTTATAAAGAATATCTCTTTGGATTTGAGACTTTAGTCTTTGCAACTTTACTGATCGTCTTTATGCACCAAGAGCTTGTAACACTACAAAGAGAAAGGAAAAATTTAAATCACATCATATGACCCCATAAAATATCTCCTTTTGAATTGGACTATGAGCTTTGTAACTTTGCAGATCTTTTTTATGCTCAAACAGCAACATTACAGACTAACTAAAGTTGAAAACATGAAAAAGCATAATAGGACCTCTTTAAGTTACAACTATGGGTCTTCTTAAAGGGATAGTTCATCCTAAAATGAAAATTCTGTCATTAAGTACTCACCCTCATGTCGTTCCAAACCGGTAAGACGCAACACAAATTAAGATATTTTTGATGAAATGTGAGAGCTCTCAGACCCTGCATAGACAGCAACGCAACTGTAATGTTCCCAGGTCCAGAAACAAAGTAAGGACATCGGTAAAACAGTCCATGTGATATCAGTTGCTCAACTTCAGTTTTGCGAAGCTACAAGAATACTTTTTGAGCACAAAGAAAACAAAAATAACAATTTATTCAACAATTCTTGTCCCCGAGTTATGTTTTTCACCATTTTAGAGTATCAAAACACATACGCACACTTTCCCCTAAGCATAAACAACGCTGATTACGCCGATTACGTTCATGCGCGCGCTTTCTCCTCCAAACGT